GCACAGCTATATGAACCACAGACTGTCCTGCATGATTCGAAGCACTGCCTCAAACACTACAGAACAGAGCACCATCTTCATCCACCCAGACAGTTTCTAAATCCTTATCATCACTGCTCTTTGAGCCAGCCTTCAAACCAGTGCAGAAGCGTAATGCAGTCTGGAAAGCTGTCCTATCAGTGAGGCACTCACTAGTTTCAAGAGAACACATAATCATGGATTTAACCTCTAAGAGTCTCCTACTGTTGGAGCACATTTGCCTGCAGGAGCCCTACATGGGGTGTTTGAAGAGGTGTTTGACACTTCTGGATTAAGCGCCTCCAAAATCAAAGGACAGCTTTATCACCTGTCCTTGGACTATCAATATAGCAGTGGAAAAATAATTTGCCACTCCTAAGTACAGAGCAAGTCGCATCACCACCATGGTGGGTGTATAGGTTTAGGACTATTTACTTTCTTCTACAGCACCAACTCCACAAAAACCTTTTGTTATGCACTGCCAACAAAACACATCCAAATGTTGAGGTGGGTTTTGGTTTTGTAGGTTTCATTATTACTCTTGTTGGATTTGAGGGTGTTTCTTGATTTTGGTGCCGTCCTTACTAAGGTCAGGATGTACTGCCAGTGAACACAATCCACTGATAAATACCTCTAACAGAGATGTTTTCTGCCTAACACACAGCTTCAGGGACAGAAAAGCAACAGCTAGTTTTTTGAGGTGATGCTTTAAAAGCCTACTAAAGATTTCCATGCAAGATAAAGCAGCACTTTGGAAAACCAGCAAAATTAAAGAAATGAAATTTTAAAAAAAAAAAAAAAAAAAAAAAAAACCCAACAACAATTAGACAAGGACTAAGGAAGGGTTGATGATAAACAAGATGGAGGTATGCTAGAGAACTGAGGTTGTACCTCAATCACCCTACCCCAACCATTTGCTCCAGCACTTGCTCATCTTGATCTCTGAGATGGGGTGACTGAGGCACAAATCTCACTGATGAAGACTGCTGTTTAGGTACTGCCTGCACACTGACTGTCTGGGGCAATCTCTCTGAATTCACCTATGCTCTTGAATTTACATGACCATCAGCAGGCCACATTTAAAAGTACTTCTAAACTAAAGTTTTATTTTTGCATAACGTGGATGATAAGCAGATCAATAGAAGTCACACTGTCTTTTTCTTACACATGAGATTAGAAGAATTAACAACTATTTCCGTCACCTTCCGTTTTTCATTTAAGTGTCTGAGCTGAGACTCCCTAGCTATTATCCTTCATAGCTGTCTGTCTCATGTGCCTGCACAGAGTAACACCCCTTGAAGTTTTCTAAAGGAAAGGGAGGGGATGAAGAACATCCTGCTGCTGCCAGAAACAGAAGGAGCTACAGCACACACCAGGATTTAATGTGCTGCTGGCAGTGTTAGCAGCATTACATAAACAGGTACCAAACTTTAAATAAAATGGCACTGCAGCATGCAGGGGAGATGACTGTACAACCATTTAATTTGTCAAACATGAAAAACATGGATTTCACCCAGATCAGTTCCCGAGTGCACATCGCCACACAAATGTGTGAACCATTGTCCCAGCAAGGGAGGAAGAAGCACAAATGGTTTTGTGCAAGAGCTCACTTCTACACAGCCACTTGTCATTTAAAAGGGAAAGAGATGACACTACCACTACCTTCTGCAATCCTGCCGCAATCAGCATACAAAAACAAAAGCACAACAGGCCAACTGCAATTATATACTCAGTTACATTACTTGAACGCCCTGGAGAGGAAGTTCAGACAGGGAATAAAGAAATCACTCTCATTCAATTGTCACTCCTAGAGGAGCCCAATCCCTCCAGAAAACTGACTTGGGTGTTTAACCCCTCCCTCTCCCTCCCCCCCTCTATTTCAGCCAACATCTAAGTCAGACCCCAGGAAGGACCAAGCCCAGCAGGGACAGTCTCTGGCAGCAGGGCTCTCCTGAAACCTGGCAGTGAGCTACAATGTTCACAGAAACGTGGCTAAAAAGACACGATGCAGAAATTGAATCCACCCATAAAGAACAGGGCAGGTCAATACTGATCTATATGAGGGCTGCTCTGTAGCCACAAAGATCTTCCATCTCTTGCAAGACTGAAGCAAGAGTCCGTGCTGGCAAGTCTGCTCACAGACACTCGTGACTCCAAACAGGAAAAAAAAGATAATTCTTTGTCATGATGATTACTGTAAATCAAGCAAGTCATCAGCACCCATAGCGCTGGGCAGATTCACTCCAGCACCCAATCTCCATCCATGCCAGCTTTGTGCTATCCGCCAGCAGTCCTTACAGCAGGGCAGTCAGACCACCTGTAAGATGCTCCTAGATAGAGACCTACATACACCTACTGGGTATCCTAAAGCCTACAGAACATAAGCATTCGGGGAGAAGTTTCATAATAAAAAAGGACACTACTAAGTTTTTAATGGTTTATTAACACTTCAGCTTTTAATATCTTTGAAGAAGGCCTGAAAAATAAGTTTTGCTTATTGACTTTGTCTTTCCCCTTTGCAAGATGTCATCTTCCACCTCCTCCCTCCGCCCCCTCTCCTTCCAAGAGGACAATGACTTTCAAGCTAATGTCCGGTTGCTTCTCAAGTGGAAATGCTTCAATCATAGCAGCAGAAAACATGCAAGCCTGATCAACAGACTCTAAAAGTCTAACAGCTTTTAGAGAATGAGTAGAATTGCACAAATAAATTGTGCACTGATGCAAATAACTTTTTCAAAATCAAATTCATACATATACACCTTTTTACTGTGGATTAAATGTGGTGCCCAGAATTACTACAGAAGTTCTATTTTCTATTTAACAAGGCTTTTTCTTCACCTGAATAATCACATCACCCTTCTGTAGAGTGATGAGTTCAGAAAAGCTTTTAATACTACTTTGATACTGTACACTTGCTCCATCTTGTTCTTCTGAAAAGTCAAAATAGGATTTGTGTTGTATATTTAACTCAAGTTGCACATTTAGCCTCACAGGACTTCACGGGCACTGTCACCTGATCTTGTCATTAGGAGCAGCAGAGGCTATTTCCCCATGCTTACATACACAAGTAAGCAGGCAGACAAAGCAAAAAGTTCTAACCATTTCAGGAACAAACACAAACAATTTAATCCATATTACAGAATTCACTGAATACAGTTGATCTCATCCAAAGTAACTCCTGAGAGCAAAATAGTTTTAGCATTACATTTTATATACAGCTATGAAGGGATTACTGGAAACCAAGACAGTCTCCTTATACCATCAGTAAGAACACTGGTTATGAGACCGCTGCACACTTTCACTTTGGAGACATTACTCAAACCACGACCAAGTTCTATGACCACCTGCTTTGTATTTATGAAAATCGGTCATTCCCATCTCATTCTATCACTGTTTTCACCTCATTACTGCTGCCAGACATCAGAACCTGTTGGCTACACTGAGCAATGACTCCTTTTTCTGCTCTCAAGTCTTGAAAGCTACCCCTGAAAACCTCCATACACTATGCTGTAAATATTTTGAGATCTCCAAGGAATGTTTTTTTTCCTTCTATGCAGGAATGACTGCTCTGTCTCAGGCAAACCACATCCTGCACACTTATTGCCTTCATTATGTTCAACATAGTTAGTTTGGAACAGGCTATGGAAGTCTGATGCATTAATGTTCTATTTCAAGAAAAAAACTGGGAGAATTACACTATTTCGAACCAGCAGAACCAAAATAATCAAGACTTTAACAGTGTTTCCAGTCACTGGGATGGAAGGCGACTTGAATGCAGATACTGGAACAAGTAATTGGAAACATCTGAGCTTGCATGCTTAAGTGAAAAGATAAACAGTATTTGTATTTTCATCATCTTCCTTGCATGTATGCAAGATTTTATAAAAAGTTTATCAGACAGAAATGACAGAACATGACGTAGTTTTCTTTAAAAAAAAAAAGAAGAAAAAAGCACTAGAAATCAAAGGCAACCAAGATAACATACATCTTCTCTAGAACATTTTTCTCAGCTAGGTAACGTGTGCATATACCAAGGTCTAACACACTTAGCTGCACCACATCAAGTCAAGCTGTCCAAAAGCATAAACAATGTCACTTACAGGAATACATTCCTTCTGTAATTTTTCAGTTTACAAGTAATTCCCTGTAGTGGATTATGTTTAGTTAAAAGCACAGCTATTTTGTTGCATTACTACTGACTGTTTTAGGACATATTTGAAGATGAGGCTAGACTTAGGATTAAGTGCAGGAAGCATTTTAGACCCCCAAAATGCATTCTTTAAAACGTAGCTACACATGGTTAACATGGGTAAGTCTGCCAAGAGTTGCATAAAATGACTTGTTTTCAAGTAGTGAGCAACTAAGGCTCCCTCAGCAAATACCAACTCTTTTGCATCATGGAATTTCATTACGGGTGTCTGAATCATTCAAATTACATTTCTGATTGTCTACTAAAATGGAATTACAGACCCAGTAAGTTGGTACATTTGAATTAAGCACCCTTAAGAAATCAAAGGAGAATAATGTTGACTCCTGGAAGACACCCAAAAAATCCAAGGATGGAGCAGAAAGTTGATTATTACACTTGCACATTGCAAGCAAATTGCTGATATACTGATAACATTCATGCCTGGTATTTGTACCTGCTGGATATCCAAATTATTCTGTCCCAAAACAAGTCTGACAATTATCCTCTCTGTAGCTGAAAACGGCCAGAAACCATTTGTGGTGGGGTTTTTTTGTTTTTGTTTGTTTTCTTTCATGGTTTTTTTTGTTTTTTCTTTTTTTACAAACAGATTGGAGACCCTTCTTTTTTTTTTTTTTCCTCTCCTCTTCCCACTTCAATTACAACAGTCTAAGCCAAAGACTTATGCAAATAAACTTCAAAATTTGTTACAAGCAGCAAACTGCCGTGAACAATGAACTCGTTACGAATCCCCTTCTAAAAGTATGACACACACAAACAGGCTACCCAGCAGAAAATCTGTTAACAATTTTATTTCTTTTGTAATGTTAAATATTATGGGACAGGATTGTAAGGATGAAGAACTCTCAACAATGCCTCACAAGGGATAAGAAAGAAATTCTGCATGATATTAGCAAAGTAAGGTAAGGAGAAAATTTACACAGTAAGAGGCACCATTTCCCCCAGAATACCTCTTGTCATATTCCTGAATGAGTGGGATTAGCAATCTAATAGATCATTTTTCAAGAGGTAACAGCAACAGATAAAATTTTAAAGGATTATTAAAATAACATTTACAAGACTCTGAACAATCTCTGAACTCTTATTAAAACCACAGAAAGAACAATTCTTTATTTATGAATTTCCATAAAGGACTGACTGTGCAACTGACACCTGCTATTTATGACTTAATGTACAATTTTGTCCGGTAGCCGAACAGTTGTCTTTTTAGATTGTGTTTTCTAACCGTGCGAGATCATTGAAGGCAAAGCCTGTTATGATGCTGTACACAAAATGGTCACTTGGGCCATACTACCAATGAAATGGTAGGTAAACAAATCTTTTTCTGGCCAAGAAAAACAAAACAAAACAAAACAAAAAAACAGAAGCTGCATTTTGCATGCTTCTCTCATTCATCCTTTCTACAAGATGAATTTCCCTAGAAAGAATCCAATGAAAATGGCTGCAATTACAACAAGAAGTGATGGAAGAGAATTAGAGCCATTATCTCTGAGGGCCAAAGCTGTGGGTGATCCAGATTTATCCGAGTGTGCTACCTTTCTGAGCCTCAAGCCTTCATCCTAAGGGGGAAAAAAATACACAGAGATTAAGAATACAAAAACACTATTTTTTAAATTTATTTATTTTACAATTTTATATAACCCAACTCAAAGGTCAAATTTACTTAACTAAATAAAGACAGCAATTTGAAAAGTAATATTATAGCACATTAAACCCACGGAAGAAATGGCCTCATGTCAAATAGAGATAGTTTGCCCACGCTCTGCTTATGAAAGATACTAAAATTCTTGCTAGGCAAAACAAAGAATCCTACTTTTACTTACCATGTAAGAATGAAATAGCAGTAATTCCTTACTGGCAAAGAGAAACACCTGCTTCGTATTTATTTATCAAAGTGTTCGAACAACAGCAGAATTACAGTAATTACATTATTTTAGAGATCACTAAAAGGCTACACTTGCCTGTGAAATCTTTCATACCCAATACCAAATAGACAGGAAAGTCACAAAGTCACCTATCAATTAGTTACAAGTTACTGAAGGAGAACCTTTACATAGAAGGTACTGGAAAGCAGTGTTTGCTTACTTCCACTGGTCAATCAGTTGCTCTTTTTGATTAATAATCAGAGATGCTGTATTACTGATTTGGATCTCGTTTACTTATTCTTAAGAATGAATAATAAAACACTTCTATTAAAAGCTAGTAAGCCTAAATCTGGGTTGTAAAAGTAACTAAAAATCACCTCACCTATGCCTATATTTACTGCATTTCGTTTAAGAAAACCATGTAGCTTCAGTATCTCACCTATGATAATCCCAAAGTCTCAATCACAGAAACATATAAACCATACACAACAGTAAAATTACACTGCAAATCAACCTTCACTTTCCCACACTTGTATCTAATTCCAGAATAAACATTTTTAAGTCTCATTACAAACTAGACTTCTCAATCAAGCAGCACGGAATCATTTCAATATAAATGAGGAAGCAGAACTTACTCTCAGGTGCCGATTTTCTTCTGACAGCTTCATAACCTCTGTCTGAAGTCTTTTGCATTCTTCCACTAGCTTCCTCGTTTCAGTATCATTAAGTGAAACACTATGTGGTTTTGGCATCGGTCCATCCTGCTTAGATGTATTCTGTACCGGAGCGGGTTTGCTTGCATCTATATCATTCTACAAATATTAAGAATGACTTGAGAATTGTACTTACCTAGAGAAAAATTATCCACAGCTTAAAACTGAAACACAATCCAGTAACTAGTATAGAGAGTTATATTTACAGTACTCTAAATAAAAGACTTCTGTGATTGGTTTAGTTCTGATTAGTGGAAGTACTAAAGAGCAAAAGAAGAATCTACTGCTTTCATTTTGTACTATGTGCCACAGAGACAAAACCAAGCACTTAAGCTGCTTAACACTAATTCAGCAGGCACCAAAGTGCACAGTAACATAAAATGCACCAAATAACATTTGAACTTGGTAGGAAAATAACTAAGTGGAAAAGAGCAGAATTTGTTTTTGTTGTGTTTTTTTTTTCCTCCCCCACTCAGAGGGTGGTGAGGCACTGGCACAGCTGCCCATGTAAGCTGTGGTGCCCCATCCCTGGAGGTGCTCGAGGCCAGGTTGGATGGAGCCCTGGGCAGCTGAGCTGCTGGGGGGCAGCCCTGCCCATGGCAGAGGGTTGGGGCTGGCTGGGCTTTGAGGTCCCTTCCAGACCAAGCCATCTGAAGGTTCTTTAGGGGAACAGCACAAAGCTGTGTTGAAATTCAGACTGGACTCATTAAAATTCAAGCTGCAATAAGTCTACTAGATAAACTACAGAGCTGTATCATCTGTTAGATCTCACTGCATGGAAAGCAGTCCAACCTGAACGTGACAGAAAACCTATTAAAAGGTAATATATCTAGCATTTTAAATCTTCGGCAGTGCAACCACAGGCAGCCTAAGAGATATACCCTGCTATTCTACACAGGCACTCTCCTAACTGGATCTAAAAAGACCAGCCTATTTTTACCATGAGTAAGCAGAGAAGTTTTGTTTTTTTTTTTGGAGCTTTTTTTTTTGTTTATTAGCTAAAAAGAGCTCCTTTCGTAGTACTGGGACTTCAACAGAGACCTTATCTCCCAAAGCAAACCTCCTTCCTCTGCTGTCTCACCTCCCTGACTGGTTCCCTTATATCAGTCTCCAGGCTGCGACTGGTAGGCATCTGAAGAGAGCAGCAGCCAACTGAAGTATTTGCACCCTGGTAAGTAAGGCATATTCTGAGGGTCCTGGCAGATTTCTCATCACAAGGCTTGAGCCAGTGCCTAAACCTGCTAAAACATCAGGGTTTGCAACCTCATGCTGCTACTCAGAAAAACTTAACTATGTGCAGTCTATACTATCAAAGTATCACATTAAAGAAAGTATAAATGTATTCTGTACTACTATGTTATATCTAAGGTATGATTTAGTAAGAGGCACACATAGGCAACTTATACAGCTGAATAAAAGCCCACACCTTCAGTTATCCTCAACCAAAAAAGATAAACTTCCTCCTAACATACCTACCTGACTACAGTACAAACTGGACTGTATTAAAGAAAAGTCAAAGTAATGACGTAAATAAGGTCACTAACAGAAATCCTGTTTCAGCACTTTATCTCATGATGCTAACAGCAGCACCAAAAAAAAAAAAATTAAAGGTAAATAAGTGGAAATGTACAGTATTAAGATTCCATAAATGAGAAGAATGACAGTAAAAAAGCATTAACTTGTAAGAATTTCAATCGTATTCCAAAAAACCTAGATAACTGACAGCTAACTATTATTCCAAACATCAGAGGACACAAAACAGACTTCTTCAGTACACATACAATGAAAATGTCATCTCCTATACAAACACAATTGATTTTGTTTGAAGTCAGACACATTTAAGAGGTTTTTTTTCATCTGGATTATCTGTCTGCACCACTACCTTAAATGATGTAGTTAGGGCTTCCAGAGCACATTAATTTCTAAACAGTACTTCCTTTCCTCATTCAGATGAATTAGGAAGAGAATTTTTAAAACTGAAAAGCATTTAATACTTCAGAAAGCAAATGATTCAATTTGCTTTTCCCTGTATGCAGCACTGACGACTCAGTTTTTATCTGACGGCAATATAATGCTAAAGTCAGTCAGGAATAAGAATGATGAAAGGATAATTTGTTTGCATTAGTTTAAACAATTTGAAATTATGGTACCATGGCAAATTATATACAGTGGAAGACAACACTGATTTGTTTGCTCTACAACGCACAAACCGTGCACAAAGAATATCAGTGTTCATCCTGAAATTTAATGTAATTCACTCCATATGTTGTTATACAAAGGAAAGCCCAGTCCTGTCCATTTAATTTAGTGGAGATTCCAACAATCCATTTAACCAACAAACCAAACAGCTTTAAAAAAAATGCAAACAAATTTCTGTAGGATCCTAACAGTGTATGACAGGTTTTTTTTTTTTACTCTTTCCTTACTTACCAGTTTATCATTTTCATTGGGCATTTCAAACACACATCTCAATTTGGAGTCCATTAACTCATCGGGTTTTGCTTCTTTCCACTAAAACAAGTAACATAGTTATTTATTAAACCAGTCACACAAAAACCTGAACAGTTCATTAAGCCTGCTCTTACAGCTTCCCTATAACTCTTACAAAGCTGAATACTATCCTTGCCCTAGCTGAAATTTTCAGATTTGCTTTTGTCCGCACTTCATTCACCTTCGACTACTACAGATGTACTGAAAGCTAGGTGTGGTTAAACTTCAGTCTGGAAATGGAATCAAGTGAACTGAATGTCAAGATGGATCCAGAGATTTGTAGGGCACAGCAAGAATGACAGCAGAATGGTTTCTGTAACACAATCAGAAATAGAGTACCATCTGAATCGGTCTATCACTGCTCCTTACATTCTATCTTGGAAGCACCCATTTTAAATAAATTGCTGAAAGACACTTTTAGCAATTCTATACTTAGCTCCAGAGTAAGTTTCTTTAGTTCTCTTTTGTCACTGGCACTAATTACACGCTAACTCATAACTATAATTACTGATTTTCTGCCAGATTTGTTCCTCAGTATTCTTTACTTCAACACTCTGAGAAAGCTGTTATTTGAAAGGTATTTCTGAAATGAATTTTTATATTCTCACCAAATGGTAGATGCTTCACTTCTCACACATAAACAAGAGCATATTAAAAAAAAGTAAACCAGACAACAAGGAGAGATGTTATTTTTGTAGCCGCATGTCTCAAAAGCTTAACAAAAACTTTTCCAGTGTTTCCAGTGGAGAGAAATGCCACAATCATCTTTGCCTTCATACACACAGGAAGAGAGCCTCAGCCTGCAGAGGTTTAGTGGATTTTAGTGATTCATAAACCTTATCTTTACTTTGTTTACTTTTCCTCCATGGAAATGCATGAATCACCATTTGAACTCGGGGAAGTGTTTAGAAACAGCAGTCCGTGCAGCAGTCCCCTGGATTCGGATATATACATGCTCATGGGAGCCCATGTATGCTCTAAAGAGCATGTTCTGACAACTGAAGGCCAGCCTTCCAATTGCTTCTAAGCTGTTCTTCTGAATTTACATGCACAAAACTAATCTTTTCTTTCTGATCTTTCACTGGACCAGTCCCACCCAAAAACAGAATACACAACTTATTCTACTAATAAAGAAAATAAATCTATCATTGTGCTTTCAATGAGCTGCAGATCAGATACAACGCAACAGTAATTTAACATTGAACAGACCTTACCTTTGATTTACTACTAGCTTGATTTAATCAGTCCTATAGGCAAATTCTGTGAACTGAACTTGTATTTAATATTTAAAACCCTGAATCATTCATAAAAATCATATTTGTTCGGAGGAAATTCAATTTTCCAAAAATAAAACACTCTGAAAACATGATTCATTTAAACTTAAGATTGATTTAAAAAAAAAAAAAAAAAAAGTCCAAACTAGTAATTCTATCCCATTTTTACTTACCACTGCTTCCATATCTGAAATATTTGGTGGTGCATAGATTGTTTGTACCATAAACTTGTGTTTACTCTTCTCATTTGGGTCGTAGTCAAAAGGCTGCAGCATTACTGTTCAAAAGAATAAAATCAAACATTTAACTACATGATCTCATCACTCTAAGAAAAAAAAAAAAAAAAAAATGCTACACACTTCAGATTCTCACTGACAAGACACCAAAAGTTAAGACATGAAGGCAGCACTGAAAATACTGTAGATACACACTGTAGCAACAAGTAACGAGGGGAAACACCTTAATAATGTAGCTTTAAAGATTATTTCTCCACCTACTATAGCAAGAAGAGATTTAATAAACAAGTAAGAAAAAAATGCATCCACTAAGACACAGAGTGAACAAACACCATAGGATTTTCCCTTCGAATAAACACACTTTGTGACTGAGTGAATGCAAAGGAAAAAGAACTCTGGCAGACTTTACAACATCTATCCGAGGGAGAAAGGGAAGAAGAACCTGTGTTACACTGGCCACCAACCAGTAGAAGCTCAACTGACTTCTAAAGACATACTAATTTTAGCTAGGAGCAAAACTACTGAAATACTTAATTCAGACCAGAATTATTAAGAGAAGTAATGCTGTCAAGGACTTTAATAGCTCACTGTAGAAAAGTTTCAAATTCAGTTCTTAAAAGATAAAGTGATTAGTTAGAGAATAACTACAAAATACATTTTATTCAGGTTTTGACATTATTATCCTTAAGTCCAGCCTAACAGCTAACATTTGCTTAAAAGTACTCACAATCCATGTATGCATTTGAATTCTATTTTACCAGTGGAGAAAGAGGGATGGAATCCAAAACCAAGCCTTCTGTAAAGGCAGTTGTAAGTGAAGCATTAAATACTTAATACCCTCTCTTTGTATTTTATCTGATGTATTTTACCTCTGCATTTTCAGCCTTGAACATAATCTAATGCAGATTTAAAAAAAAAAAAAAATTAAAAAATGCAACCACCTGCCTGAACAAAACCAGACATTTTTGACACAAACCAGTTCGTACTACAAGTACCAGAGATAGAATATACAAGAAGGAGTACTTTTGTGACAGGACAATTTCTGAATGACTGCTTTCCAAAGCCGAAAATTCTGTTGGTTGAGAAAGGAAACTCAATTTCAAAGTTATTATTTTGAAGTATATACAAATTCAGTGGAAAAATAAATAACATCAACATAACAATATTCATCATCTCAATTATTACTGCACTACTACAGTATTTTTAAAGGAATGCTTCAATTACAGAGTACAGAATCTTCATCCAACCAAACTGTACAAAGCCATTTGGAGGCTGGTTTTCTGTTAGTGATCGTGGTTGTGTTTAGAAAACAGCCCAGAGGGGAAGCCAGATCACTCTGACGTCATTATTTTCATGGTTTCTTTACTTCAAAGGGACTGAAAAGGACATGTCTGTAATTCAGACCAGAATGTTATACGATATAGCTGCCTATCTACGGATGTAATGAGCACAGCATAGGGACTGAAATATCTGATCATACAAGGTTTGTCATAGTAGCACTGGAGGACTACTGAAGTAGAAGTATGAGGAGATGACCAGCACAGTGTACCTCCATAGAGCAGATCAGGAAAGACAATTGTTGACTCAATCCAGATAGGAGTCCAGGACAATAAAAACATAACAAGTATCTGTACATGCATGTACACACGTCCACACTTCCAACTTTCTACCAGAGGCTGATGACCCAGAGAGAACTGTAAAGATAGATTTTTGACAATGCACACACACTTGAGTCTCATTGAAACTGAATTCAAGCTTAGTGAATCCTTATGTAAAACTAAGGTGAATGTAAGTGATCTCAGATAAAATGAATTATGTACTTATGGAGTCCTATGAACAGGAATCTATATTGCTAGCTATTTTACAGCAATGGAAAAAAAAGCTACAGCAGAAACACCCATTTAGCTAGAAAAACCCACTGTATGCTCTGAACAAGCTTCCCATATGTTCTCAAGAAGTTCAGTCAGATTTCAATACTGCTGTAATTGAATTGTTAGAAATTATATTTCCCACAATTCTAAATCTTCATTGGATGAACAGTTCAACACCCTTGCTTTCACACAAAGCAAATTCTTCACAGTAGAACTGAACTGTATAAGTTGATAAAACAGTAAGTACAATATCAAAATGATTACCTTTGTCTCTCCAAATTCACTAGTCCATACGAAAAGTTACTTCCAAATCATACTGCCACCTAATTTTAGACCCTACATACTGGTTAAATGTTGCAGATGTTTGCTGTTGAGTGCTTATTAAGTATTTTTCCCTGCTGAAAGCTGCATACAGCATAATCAAAGGACAATTAAATAATCTATCACTACATCTAGCAATCTGAGTTAAAATAAAGCAGTGAAAGGAACTGCAGTATTTGACATGCTTTCAAACAATCCTATTTTGAAAGGTTTAAAGCCAGAGTTTCTCATTAGTTACTCAATCATTAGTTACTTGGGTCCAAAACATAAATCATTAAACTAAAGGCTTCTTCCTACACTAATTTATTTCTAAGATCATTTCTATCAACAGACTACAGAAAAGATATAGTACTCTTCCTTTCACCAAGGAAAAACCTTGAAAAACAGCAAAGCCAGCTTTCTACTATCTGAGAACTGGCAAAATCCTTCGATAGCTAGTTAAATAACTTTGTACTCTTTGACCACTAGGTAACAGCTGAAAGCACAACTGAATGAAAGCCAGCAGAGAACAGAACCATAGAATCATAGAATCACCAAGGTTGGAAAAGACCTACAAGATCATCCAGTCCACCTATCGCCAATAGTTCTCTTTAAACCACGTCCCTCAGCACAACAAGCCTGTAGCACTGCCTGGGGTTGTTGCAGCTGAAGTGTAACTTGGCATTAGGTCTTGTTGAACCTCACCCCATTGGCTTCAGCCCAGCAATCCAGCCTGTCCAGATCCCTCTGCAGGGCCTCGCTACCCCCAGGCAGACCGACACTTCCAGCCAACTTGGTGTCATCTGCAAACTTACTGAGGGTGTGCTCGATGTCCTCATCCAGGTCATCAATAAAGACACTGAAGAGGACAGGCCCCAGCACAGACCCCTGGGGACCACTTGTGACCAGACACCAGCTGGATTTAGCTCCATTCACCACCACTCTCTGGGCCCAGCCCTATAGCCAGTTCTTTACCCGGCCAAGAGTGTACCTGTCCAAGCCATGGGCTGCCAGCTTCTGCAGGAGAATACTGTGGGAGACAGTGTCAAAGGCCTTGCTGAAGTCAAAGCAGACCACATCAACAGCCTCTCTCTCATCCACCAGGCAGGTCACTCGATCATAGAAGGAGATCAGGTTGGTAAAGCAGGACCTGCCCTTCACAAATCCATCAAGGCTGGCTAGGCCCGATCCCCCAGTTGTCCCATGCATGCCACGTAATCTCCCTCAACACAATCTGCTCCACAACCTTCTCTGGCACCAAAGTCAGGCTGACAGACCTGTAGTTCCCTGGATCTACCTTACGACCCTTCTTGTAGATGGGAGTCACACTGGCAAGTCTCCAATCTTCTGGAACTTATCCTTTGTTCTTCTTTCTTCATGGAAAGAATTCATGAATTCAAAGAACTATTGAAAGCTATGTTAGGCTTTGAACAATCATGGAAAGCCTCATGAAGGAAGAAGTTGCAGTTTTCAGCACATTCTTGGAATCCACAAACAGTTCAGGTATCAGCTCTAGGAGAATTACAACAAATAGTTACGAAATCAAGCCTCCTGTTAGTAAGGTAATAATATTTTCCACATTGGAGGGTTTTGTCTCCACAGGATATATCTTAAATGGGCCTGAAAACCGGAAGGAAGAACAGCAACAAGTAACAGTAAAAAGCTGTGAAGAAAGAATGCTAGTATACTGAACACTGGAACGAAAAGCCAACAGGAAGCTACCAGTATAGATGATACATAACAAATAGTTAACCTCACTCATCAAAGTAAAGGAAAAGCCATTCAGATCAACAGTAGAAAAGCAGGTCTCTATGACCTAGTGTTTTTGAAAGAATGTATAAACACTGTTGAAAATGTTGAATGAAAATGTTGAAAGCTACTCATTCACGATTGAATGATACATAAAATGTCCACAGACTTCATTAAAATGGCTTTTAAATCACATTTCCAACCATAAATTTTAAAACTCCCTTGGCTCTGAATCAGCTGATGTATTTATATGGGCTAAAGTCAGCGAGCACTGTCAACATTTAGTTTTGAATACAGAGCTTCAGACCATGGTATCCTACAATGAGCTCTCTCTGCCCAACAATGTGAGAGAAATCTATTTTTAATGATATGAACAATGAGTCAGCACTGAAAACACTTAGTAGAGAGATGCGTGAGATAAAGTGGGTCACTAGAAAAAACTATCTGTGCACTTGGCCTACCAAGTGACCCAAAAGAAATCATGCATAACAACAAAACACAACAAGAAAACAGCAGTAAAAAAAAGTCCTAATTCTGAATAGTAGCTGTTACTAAATAGCTGCACCTTGGAGTTACTGCAGCTGAATAACTGCACGAGATTCCTGTAACACAGAAACAACAGTATTCACAGAGACACAAAATGGGAAGTCAACCAGCTGTGATGACCTATGATACTGTTCCCCTTCATAGGTCAAACTGAAGCTAAAATATTTGAAACAGATACAGCAGTTTCTCTTTTTTCAAAAGGACAGTCAAAAAATGAACGATTCAAAGAATTAAAAGGATGATGCACAATAATGGAAAGATTTGGGTTAGAAGGGACCTTAAAGATCGCCCAGTTCCAACTTGTCTGCTGCAGGCAGAGGCACTTTCTAGTGGACTGGGCTGGCTGAAGCCCCAACCAACTTGGCCTTTGACATCTCCAAGAATGAGAAGCTTTTCTAGGCAAACTGTAACTGTGAAGCAGAACTATGAAATCATGAGATATTGCAGGATCACAGGAAAAAAAACCCTTGGTACCAGACGGTTGTAGTCTAGCAATCAAATACATAATTGAGACAAATGACTGAGAGTCAAAGTTAAAAAAGTAAGCTTTTGATTATCCAAGTTTTGAAATAATTTTCTCAGTAAAACAATCTTCCACCCACAAAACAATGAATTGTCCATGGCAATACCGAAGTTTTAAAAGGTCACTTTCTACAGATCATTAGATCGGAGAACTGATGACTCGGCTATAAGGAAAGTTAATCTTAACATTTTAATCAATCAAAATTTAAGAAGCTTTCCTAAGTTATTTCTTGCAATTTTTCAACAAACACCTGAAGCTAGTTCCTCAGCTGCTTTTAAATTTCCCCAAGGATACAACGGGACAGTTATGAACCTGAAAAGCTCTAAGAATTTCACCACGTTTCCTTTTTGCTTTGCTATATCTTTTCAGAGCTGCTACAAAAATTGGCTTTCTAGACTAAGGAGATCTAGAAGCTCATTACTTTTATTGCTACAATCTGGAAGACCACAAGCTATCTAAGAGATTTCCTTCTCTCCATGTTGGGCAATATGATGGGTCCACATTCCTTTTCTGGCTTGAAAACTCCCTTACTCAGAAAATTACTAACTCACAATTGGGAGAACAATCTACCAAAATCCTTTACTGAGTCACAAGGCCAGTATCTACTGTTCATTCATTTTCTTGAGAATGACAGAATCCAATCTCATACAGATTTAGACCACTACATGTCCAACTATCAAAATATTGCTGATTGTCAGAATGAAGTATATAAGCCAAACCTAGCTACAACTTCACGGGGAAAAAAATAAAAGTATTGTGTGGCTTCAAGGTTCACAACGCTGCGTAGTAAGGATCCTTTTTTTAACACCAAGAAAAACATGAAGCATCCCAAGGTCTACATTTTTCAAGTCTTACGGCTATAAAACAGCTCTTCCCCTTTTACCTGGGGAAAAAAAAATTAAAAGCAATTTAATGACTGTCATTTCACATATGCTATGTAACACACACAGCTCTTTTATGAAATAACAGAGTTCAGACAACAGGGACCAGTACTATCAAAACAACTATTCCACAGCAATGAACCTTTTGGGTTTTTGCTTAATGCAATGAACTATCAAATGTTAAACTTGAGACACAGAGCAGTTGAGTAATGTCCCACTTAAAGACAGAAACATGAATACAGTAGTTTGGAGTAAAGGTATTGTTAATCTCACTGTCCATTTCCAACTTTCTTCCTTCCTTTACATATAGAGACCTGCAGGTAAACAAAGCAAACGACAAATGTTTCTGGCATAGACCATTTTCATGCATCTCTGCAAGTCTACACCATCAAAAGTCGATATTTACACTAGTGAAGGGAAACAGTTTTACTTTTAAGCCTTTTTGAAAAGCTGGCATACTTACAACAGCCTCTGAGATCACTATTAGAGAACGTGATGAAAAGTCTAAAAAGCACACAACCCACAACTATTTGATTTTACCTGAAACAGTTACAGACGATCCTGGGTCAATAATTCCACTATTTGGCCTCACACAGTATCGACGAGGCGCTGTGGTCTTCACTTTGAAGCATACTTTCCTATCTGATGGATTTCGTAGCTTGAGATTTGTGGTTACTACATCTGTAAAGGGACCTAGAAAAAAAAAAAGTCATTCTTTTAAATACGCATGTATCTGTGGAAAGGAAACCTGCTTATACTGCACAAATTATTCTTAACCTAAGGTAATCTGAAGGCAGTATGTTTCTAAAAACTGGTTAAATCATACATCTGTTAAGCACATAAACCTTTACATGCAAAGCATACTCTATCAACCAAGTTAGAATAATACATACTAAAGTAATGAAGAAATAAATAGTATGATTGATTCAAGCTGCTGGTGCAAGAAGTTCATATACACATATATAGACAGATATTTTTTTCTTAAACAGAGGAGGCATTATGCTAATTTTATCACAGCATTCTTAACATCTTAAGTACCTGCGAGGTAATGGTCAAATGCTAAACTAAGTTCTGCTGTTTTTTTTCTTTAGAGATAGAGACACAACACGTACTTCAAACATTTGGAAGAGTTCCTAAGACAGTAAACACTATGATACTGGAACAGACTAACTGCACCTGACACTTCAACTTCTGTTCGAGTTCTGAGTTCCTACAGACTTGACAGAAGCACATAAACCTCATTATTTAAATTCAAAGCAGGCAAGGAAGATGATATTCTACTTATTCATATACTCTAACAAATTCACAGAAAAGAAACAAATTGCCAGATACACCTATCTGATGCAGTATATTGGCTGTGTTAAACCATCAAGATAGCAATTGTCTCTATGATTGGATTGCACAAGAGCAGCAATTCAAAACAATTTCAATATTAAGCTGTAAAAGCTCTTCTTCCAGAACAGATCACCTCCATTTGGTGCCATGCAGTAACAGCAAAAAAGGTTCCGTGTTATGAGTAGTGCCCATCATGAAAGCATGAATGCACAGGCACTAAAGGAACACAACTCAGAAATGGAATTCCAAATGAATATGAAATTTATTCAATATTATTTCACACGCACCTTAACTTTCAAGAAGCCTCTTGACTATCTTTAGAAATTACAAACGTAATCACTGCAAAATGCAGTCATTTCACCACTGTTGAAATTGCAACAACTATTATTCCATTTTAAAAAAGCCTTCTATTGTAGAAAAATGTGTATTTTTATACCTATACGAGTTGCAAGGTACAACAAAACCACCAACTGTACAAGGTAAAATACACTGATTCTCTCTCAGACACAGTATTCCACAGAGGTCTCTGGATTACTCTGAAGGAAGTTGTACTAAGGCTAGCAAGCATGTTACTTACACTAGAGGGCTCACCATCTGACCAAAGTTTGATTTCCACAATCCTCTTTCAGTCCACATCCTTGATTTTGAAAGAGTACTGAACACAGCCTTAATGTAAAACAACAGGATACAAATCAAAGAAGACTAGAACTGGGACTGAGAACCAGAATAGCAAGCCATAACTGAAAACACACATGAGCCAGTTAAAATTCAAGACTTTTTTTCTGAGAAAATAGGACCTAACTGGTGTTACTTGTCTGAAAAATTCATTTCTAGTCTGACTTTACATGGTACAGGAAAATAACCACACTCTTAATCCACTCAAACTTGGCATAGGACCCACAAGGAAGGTTTACAGAAGGACTTTAAAGTTTCCTGCCACTTGCCCCTTGACTGCCCTAGCAGGATCCAGTTGCATTTCCTTACAGAGTCTCATCTAAAAATAACTTCCATAACCCGCAGCACAAGCTGAAGTAAAAGCAGGTATCTGAATAATCCTCAGAGACTGGTGATACACCCAGACCAACCATTTCTTTTTTGAGCTATATAAACATCATTAAGGACATAATTCTCGGATTTATTTATAGCCATGCAGGCAGTACCTTCGCAGTGCACAGCACCTCAAACCTGGCTTGGCTTTTTCGTGTCAGGTTTTTTTTCTTCCTTCTGTTTTGTTGGATTGTTAATTGTAAATCTAGACAAGCTCTACAAAAGCTACATAAAACCTCTCCAGACTCAAAACCATCAGATTTAACACACAGCTCATAAGGAACTTCCGTGCAAACAGAAAACAAGAACAAAATAAAACCAGCTTTCCCTGTTCCTGCAGCACCCAGCTATTTAGTTTAGTGACAGCAGTGATCTTGAGCTGAGGTGTAAGTGCAGACCTATCTGACACAAGGACGATAAGACAGAGCAAAAAAATCTATTAGCATTCTGAGGAGCACCATATACTCAATTAGAATGGCATATGCTTCAAATAAGAAACCATGCAACAGCAGAAGAGGATTCAGGAGTTTCCAGCCAGACAAACATACTGCTGGGAACAGGAAAACAAATGACTGGTTGAGCAGCCCAAGCACAAGAGCTTAAATCACAGAATCACACAGAATTGTAGGGGTTGGAAGGGACCTCCAGAGATCATCGAGTCCAACCCCCCTGCCAAAGCAGGTTCCCTACACCAGGTCGCACAGGTAGGCATCCAGACAGGTCTTGAACATCTCCAGAGAAGGAGACTCCACAGCCTCCCTGGGCAGGGGATCACTGTAATCACTACAGTTCCTTGAGAAAAAGCACAAGAACAGAGGGGAGAAGAATTGGGAATGTTAAAACAACAAAGGCTGGGATTCTGGAAACCCTAGTTGCAGGTAAGATCTTCAACATATACTGATATAACTGCGATATACAGAGACAAGACAGCATTGCTTTTCAAACCTGTAATTTCAATCTAACAGCTCTTGGGAATCAGTCATTTCAAAGGGAGCAGGGAGTTAAGAAACCCGTTTGGCAGCATGCAGACAAGACACCAGTTACAGCATCTTTCCAGAATAAAAACTGTGAGAGTGCCAGGTTATTCCAACTGTTGTGAAAGGTGCAGTGACAACTCATGCCAAGATTTTTCTTGCCTTTTCAACTTAAAATGGCCTTAGAAAGGAATGACAGACGCTGCCTACACTCAGAGAAACTAGAGATCTCCAAAAACATGATACACTGAATTTCCATTCCAGCAATCTTAACTGTGCAGCCGCAGCAACATTAATGCCGAGGTTGCCTCTGGCAACCACATATCTTGGACTACAGCAAGCAGGAAGAAATGACACAGACTCTGCAGAGCCAGCTTCCACTGCTGAAATGCAGTCCCAAGTTTCCTTGCTTGCCACTGCCTTGCCAGTTTCACTGCAGTAGAATCTAAAGATGATGTATTTCTAGACAAGTAGGATCTGTACAAAGGTCTTCTGGGATCAGTGTTGTCATATTTTCTCTCTAAATTCTGGTCTCCTGAACACCCAGCCCTCCTTCTGCCCAGCCAAGTCAAACATAACGGAGAAAATTATGACATGAATATGCCTTTCTAGAGTGTGAAGGAAGAGCTGAAAGGAACCTCCTCAGTTCAAGATACCTATGGGGAAAGTCAGAGATCACAGCCAGCATCTACTCGTTAACAGTACAGAGCAAATGAACTGAAAGCATTTTTTAGAAGGGGACAAATTTGATTATTAGACGTTCAATTCAAAATCAGAAGACCTACCCATAACACATACAAAGATCTCATCACAGAGCATAGCCTCTGAAATACAGTAAATTCACCACTGTATAAAATCGCAGCTGCTGTCTCAAAAACCGGTGCACATTATTAAAGGGTTGGACAGTAGTTTATACGAAACAACTTAAATGCAAGTCGATCGTTCTCTTCGAGACACTGAACTTCAAAAAGCTAACATCCAAGCTGACTCCATACCAAAGGTACTTCATCTCACGCATGGGACTAAAGTTTATTTAAGCAGTAAACTGGCACATTAAAGTAATACATCATCATATCCAAAAAAATACAAGTATACATAAGAAAGTACACAAACCAGCCAAAAGGTTCCAAGCTCCTTACAAGTGGGTAAGTTGCAGTATTAAGTTCAAAAATGATTTCTATGACGTGCTCTAAGTGGGATGGAGTTTTTCCACAACTGCTTCATTGCATTTCAAAGTCTGAGAGCGCTCAATATACACAGAAGACTTCAAGGTATCTTTTCCAAAACAAACTCAGGCAGCGTAATTTTGTTCTGTGTATAATAAAGTCAGGTTGGGCGGGCAAAGAAAAATAATTTACTGCACTTAATGTCTTCAGTACTAACGTATGAGAAAGGAGCTAAAGTCAATACTGTTCCTGATGCAGCCTGGCATACCACTAGTCTCCTTTGCGGCAACAGAACACTGAAGACTCACATTCAACTTGATGTCCACCAGGATCCCCAGCTCCTATCCTGCACAGCTGTGCAACTCAGCATTTCCCCTCACTGAACTTTGGGAGGTTCCTATCCATCCATTTCTCCAGCCTGACCAGGTCCCCCTGGATGGCAGCACCATGTCCTGGCCTACCAGTCATGCCTCAGAGTTTTGTGTCATCTGCAAACTTACACAGAGTGCACCAGATCATAAATGAAGTGGTTAAATGGGACCAAATCCATACTGACCCCTGTAGTACACCACAAGTTACTCTCCTCCAGCAAGACTTTGCACCACTGACGACTACTTTCTGGATCCAGACAGTCAGACTCTCTCTTATCCACCCCCCAACTCTGCTCATCCATTTATCAACAGCTTTTCTGTAAGGATCTCATGAAAGGCTGTATCAAAATCCTCAGTGAATGTCCAGGCAGAAACTATCTACTGTTCTCTCCTCATCTACCAGGCCAGCCACTTCACCACAGAAGCTCACCAAATTGGTCAAATGGTGAATCCATGCTGACTACTCCAGATGACTCCCCTGCCCTTCACATGCCTAGAAATGCTTTCTAGGAGTAGCCATTCTATCACCTTCCCAGGGATCAAGATGAGGCTGACTGGCCTGTAGTCCCTGAGTCCTCCTTCTTGCCCTTCTTGAAACAGGAGTGGCATTTGCTTTCCCCCAATCTTCTAGCACTTCTCTCAATCACCACCTCAATTAAGGATTATAAAGAGTGGCCTCACAGTAATGCCCTGCCAGCTCCCTGAGCACTCACCCATGGGTGCGTTCCATCTGGGCCCACAGACCTAAGTATGTCCAGTTAGCTTAAGTATTGCCTGACCTGACCTACAACCACTGATGCTT